GATATTTTAGTGAATTCAAAGTCAGAAAAAGAGCATAGTTCACATTTAAATATTGTTCTACAAATTTTGAGAGAAAAGAAGCTTTATGTTAAACTCTCCAAATGTGAATTCTGGTTGAAGGAAGTGACGTTCCTTGGACATGTGATTTCTACAGAAGGAATTCGAGTGGATCCCTAAAAGATTAAAGCCATTTTAGAGTGGGAAGTTCCAAAGAATGTGTCAGAAGTCCAAAGTTTTCTGGGGTTAGCTGGCTATTACCGAAGGTTCGTTAAAAACTTTTCGATAATAGCATTACCCCTAACTAAATTATTGAGGAATGAGATAAAATTTGTGTGGACACCGGTGTGCCAAGAGAGTTTTAAAAGGTTAAAGAAGATTTTGACAGAAGCTCCAGTGTTGGTTCAACCCGAGTCTGGCAATAACTTTGTAGTGTATAGTGATGCGTCTCATAATGGCTTAGGATGCGTGTTAATGGAAGAAGGTAAAGTGGTGGCTTATGCATCGAGACAATTAAAACTACACGAAAAGAACTATCCAGCGCACGATCTGGAGATGGATGCAGTAATGTTCACTCTTAAGATCTAGCGCCACTACTTGTATGGGGAAAATGTTATTTATATACATATCACAAGAGTTTAAAGTATTTGATGAATTAGAAAGAATTGAATTTAATACAAAGAAGATGGGTGGAATTTTTAAAGGATTAAGATTTAGTAATCGATTTTCATCCGAGGAAAGCAAATGTGGTAGCAGATGCTTTAATTCGAAAGACGTTTGCAGCATTACGAGTTTTGGATGCCAGACTATCGTTAAGTAGAGACGGTGCAATATGTGTAGAGTTAACTCTCAAGCCATTATGGCTAGATTGAATTAAAGAATTATAAGCTAGAGATGAAAATTGTTCAAAGAAGCTACATCAAATAAGGAATGAAGAGGTTACGTATTATGAATTGAAGACTGATGTGAACCTATATTATCAAGGGATGCTAGTGATTCCTGATAATGATGAATTGAAGGAAGACTTGTTAACGAAAGCTCATTGTAGCCCATTGACCATGCATATTGGAAGAAATAAAATGTATATGGATCTCAAGAATCAATATTGGTGGCCTGGAATGAAGAGGGACATTACGGAATTCGTATATAAGTGTTTGACTTATCAGAAAGTCAAAGCTGAGCATCAGGTTCTGTCAGGATTATTGCAACCAATTTCGATTCCTCAGTGAAAATGGGAGAATGTAACAATGGATTTTGTAACGGGGATACCTTTAACTCCGAACAAAAGAGATTCAATATGGGTGATCGTAGATAGATTGACTAAGTCAGCTCATTTCATTCCGGTGCGAACTGATTTCTCCATGGATAAATACGCTGAGTTATATATATAAGGGAGATCATTAGATTTCATGGAGTTCCTGTTTCCATAGTTTCTGATCGGGATCCTCGATTTACTTCGAGATTCTGGAAGACATTGCATGGAGCATTAGGCACTCGACTGAATTTCAGTACATCATTCCAACCTCAAACATATAGACAATCTGAGCGAACTATCTAGATTCTGGAGGATATACTGAGAGCATGTGTTATAGAATTCAAAGGATCGTGGGAAAAGTACTTTCCACTTGCTGAATTTACGTACAACAATAGTCACCAATCAAGTATTAAAATGGCTCCCTATGAGGCTTTTTATATGAGGAAATATCTTACACCTTTGAATTTGTATGAACTTAAGGACCGAGAAGTTCTTGGTCCTGAATTGATTTAAGAAGTGGAAAAGAAAGTGCAGGTGATCCATAGTAATCTCAAAGCAGCAGCTGATAGACATAAATCGTATGCAGACTTAAAAAGAAAAGGAATTGAGTTTCAAGTCGGAGATAAAGTGTTTTTAAAAGGGTCTCCATGGAAGAAGGTTTTAAGGTTTGGCCGAAGAGGAAAATTGAGTCCCCGGTTCATTAGACCTTACGAGATCGTAAAGAGAGTTGTACCAGTGGCATATCAACTAGCGCTGCCACCTGAAATGGAGAAAATCAATGATGTCTTTCATGTCTCAATGCTTCAAAAATATCGATCTGATCCCTCCTACATTGTGACTCCAAAAGAGATCGAGATTCAACCGGATTTGTCGTATGAGGAAAAACCAATTCAAATCTTAGCTCATGAGATTAAACAACTAAGGAACAAGACTATTTCATTAGTTAAAGTCTTGTGGAGGAATCATAAGATAGAGAAAGCACCATGGGAACGTGAAGAAGATATGAGGAACCAATACCCCCATCTCTTTGCACAATGAAAATTCGAGGACGAATTTTCTTAAGGGGGTAGATTTGTAACATCCTCAATACCGGGTTAGTGACTAAATTGTAAAGTTATGGAATTTGGTACTTAAAGTAGATTAATTGATTAGTTCAAGGACTTATATGAAAATGTTGTGTATGATCAAATTTCAAAGAATTAAGAATGGAATGACAAAATGGTCATTTTGTTAGTAAATAATTAAATTTGGTTAGATATATATGGAGGCCACGTGCATGAGATGAAGCAAATATCCAAGCTTCTAGACAACTCTTTTCCTTCTTTCTTCTTTGTGCGTGTGAGCCAAGGTAAAGGTAAAAATTCTTATTAGTTGATTAATAGTTGAGATTTAAGTTTGGTTTTGATCATTAGACAATAATTAAGCTTAAGGAAAGCTTAATTTATCTTAAAACAACAAGATGAAGGGTGTAGGAAGAATTAAAGGTTAGGAGTTCTTGAATGAAATTTTGAAATAAAGTTCATAATGAGAATTGGAAGTTGAATTTGACTTGTCACCAACTTGATTAAGGAATATGAAGTGTTAGAATTAGATTTAGAACATGTTAGAATTTGAGTGAGATTCTTGAATTCTATGTGGAGGATTGGATTTTTAAGTTTAAGAGGTATTGAATGGGTATAAATTAGTTTAAGTAGGTGTATGCAAGTTAGAGATATTAAAGGAGGTGAAATATGAAGTGTTGAGCTAAAAAGAAGCAAATTTCGTGTTCAAAATGTAATTTTTGGGCAGAGGGTATCGGTACCCTATGAAGGTGTATCGATACCCACTTGAACGAAAAAAAATAACAGAATGCAATAAGGGTATCGATACCCTATAGGGGGTATCGATGCCCCCCTTTAAGATGAAATTTTCAGGTTGCTGTAGGGGTACCGATACCCTATGGTGGTATCGATACCTATTATAAATAAGAATGAAAATTACCTTTCCTTTAGCTTAAGAATTGGAAAATTAGAGTATACAATTGGATTACTAATATCTATAAATGTATAATTATGTAGATAGTGAACGTAAGCTTGTTCCGGAACAATCGAAGGATTAAAATCGAGTCAAATCAAGCAAGGCTAAGGTGAGTGCATATCCTAGATAGAATTGTATTGAGATAAGACTTGCGATAAGTCTATCTCTTATAATTAAATTTATGATTCTCTATTCATGCACATGCATAGATATATATGTGTTAATGTTATAGTGATTCCATGCATAATTCATTCATGATTTAACATGATATTATATGAATGAATGCCATTATCAGAGAATCCTTCCAGGTATGTGAAATAATGAAAATGGTCATATGAAGTGACTTATGTGTTTACATGGACAGTGATGAAAGAGATATGAAATGAGAAAGGTATTGGTAATTAAGCCCATGTTATTTAATATGAGAGTTGTAGGTATAATTGGCATGCCAAGAGTCGATGGATTATCAGTTGTCCTTCGGGACATAGTGGTCATTCGGGAAAAATATTCAGTACCCCTAGTGGGATTTTATTCGATGTGGTAACAACATTGTGCACAACCTTAGTGTACTCGCGTACCTTCTGTTCTCAATAATGTACATGGGCATTCAAAGATAAATTAAAAGAAAACTCTTATGACACATAATTGTTCTTTCATGCATATCATACTTATTTGTCATAATGGGATATCTACAAGTGCATTGCAATGTCTTAGTGGATTGATAGTAGTGTGTATTCATGATATTATTGTTGTATGTTTATTTTATGCCTCACTAAGTCTGTGACTTAGCGTATAAGTGATTTACACGTAGGCACCAAGAATTCAGAAGAGCAGAAATAGGGGTGACAAGAATGACATCATTGCTAGAAGATCAGATCAGAAGTAACTAAGAAAGTATGTATTTTGATTGTGTATAGTGTGTTGGCATGTAAGAAAAGTGTTAGTTACGAATGCTTTGATCGAATTTGTCTTGTTTTAGTTATCTTATGTAAAATAACAATGTTATTTTAATGAAAGTTTTAAATTTTCTTGTTTTTCGTCAAGAGTCAAAGTTTGAAAAGTTAATGTGACACCTCAGACTCGTATCCGGGTCGGGTCGGGTACGGGTTGGAGTGTTACATTTACAATTGAAAATATCAACTCGACCAAACTCAAAAAATAATATAATTATATCGTATATGTTTAAGGATAATTACAATAATAATACTATCTATATTATTTTTTCAATTAAATCCTTACTGTATTGAATAAAATTAAGAATTATATATACATTATTTTTTGAGTTGGGTTGAGTCGGATATGAGTACGAGTTTTATTTCAAAAGATTTTTCAAGTTTTGGGTCGGATGAAGATACCCTAAACCTGAATTGGGTCGAGTTTCGGGTGGAAAATATATTTTTATCGGGTCAAGTTAGATTGATTGAAAACCTAACCTAACCTAACCCAATTCATATTCATCCTTATATATGAGGTGGTAGAAGATTTCATATAATAATTTATGTGATGTAGTTTGCCTTGTTCTTTGTTTCACTCTTCTCATTTGTGATTTATATAGCTCTTTATTACATAAAAGGAGTTAAGGCATTCAATTCATATTATCATTATTTGTTTAAAAGGTGTAAACGGAATAGATGAAATCAATTGTGGAGTTTCTTGTATGTAAGAGTTTTTTCGTCGATCATATGCTACTATTAAAAACAAATTGAAAACCCACTTAGGAAAGTTAAATAACAGCATAGATGTATTTATGTTCTTTGCTCCTTTCCTTCTATACCCAACAGGCATAACATACAATAGAAATACATTAACACTATAGTACTATTTAGTAGCCTGGAAACATTGGTGGAGGTGGTGACGAGTATTGGAATCCAATATTTGGTGGGAGGACAATATCCACTTTGGTAGGTGGTGCAAGTTTGACAACCGGTGGAGGTGGAGAGTAGACAGGTGGAGGTGGAGAGTAGACAGGTGGCGGCGGAGAGTATATCAGTGGTGGTGGTGAGTGTACCAACGGGGGTTGAGAGAGAACATGTGTTGGCGGTGGTGGTGAACGAACAGGTGGTGGTGGAGGATGGACTGGCGGAGGTGAAGAATGAATTAGTACCGGAGGTGGAGAGAAGACTGGTGGAGGTGGGGAGTGGAGTGGTTGAGGTGGAGATTGAACTGGTACCGGAGGTGGGGAGAAGACTGACGGTGGTGGAGAATTGACTGGAACTGGAGGTGGGAAGTGGATTGGAACCAGAGGTGGGGAATTGACTGGTATCGGAGGTGGAGATTGAACAGGTACCGGAGGTGGGGTGAAGACTGGTGGTGGTGGAGAATGGACTGGAACAGGAGGTGGGGAGTGGACTGGTGCAGGAGGTGGGGAGTGGACTTGTACTGGAGGTGGGGAGTGAACTGGTACCGGAGGTGGAGATTCAACTGGTATCGAAGGTTGAGACGGAACTGGTGGTGGCGGGGAACGAACTGGTACTGGTGGTGGAGATTGAATTTGTGCTGAAGTTGGAGGTGGATATTGAACTGGTACCGGAACTGAGGGTGAAGGTGAAGGAACAATAGGAGTCGGTGGTCTAATAGGAGTCACTGGAGATTGATGAATTGGACCAGGTGATGGTTTTGGTTGTGGATTCGGCATTGGAGGAGCTTGAACCGGTGGCTTTGGTGAGTTAGGCTTGGGAGGTGAAGGCCCTAAAGAACACTCGTCCTTGCTACAATCAACCGGATTACTCACCACCGATTGACATTCATTATCCAACTTCTGATTTAACCGACCAGCCACACAATTATCAGAATCATCCAACACAACGTTGTTCCTTTCAGGCGATATACAGCCTTTAGGCTCCTCGGTGAAATAGTTGTAGGAAAAGGTGAAATTAGACAAGCTTGGCAACTTGCAAACATTTTCAGGCACAGCTCCCGTCAACTTGTTGTGAGAAATATCCAAAATGTCAATGCTCTTCAAGCTCGATATATTTTGTGGCAAACTACCGGTAAAAGAGTTGAAGCTAACATCGAAAATAGTGACATTGGCAAGCAATCCAATTTCTGGGGGAAAACAACCACCAAGGTCATTGTTCATGAAAAGAATTTCATTCAATCTCCGCATTTTCCCAATGCTACGTGGAATACACCCTTTGAACTTATTGTTGGCAAATGTCACGACCGAGACCAAAGATGTTCCAATTGTTTCAGGGATTGAGCAAGTGAACCGATTATTGTTTAAAAACAATGCATCCAACTCCTTCTCAAAGATCTCTGGTGGTAAACAACCTTCGAAATTATTGTATCTTATATCAAGATACTTAATGGTTGTCCATGTCATTACAACTTCAGGGAATGGGCCAACGAACCTGTTGTTGCTTATATCAAATTCGTACATAAGATTAAGCCTTGAAAAGCTCTTGGGGATAATACCACAAAACCTGTTGGAATTTAAATGGATCAATGCAAGGTCGGTCATCAACCCCAACTCCACCGGAAGATAACCGGCAATGTCGCCATGGTTGAGGTCAATACCAGCCACGACCGTTAACTTCGGATCATCCAATGCCGGAGCACAAAACACACCTTTGTAGCTACACACATTGGACCCAAACCAGTTCCTGGTAATGTTCAAAGGGTCGGAGTACATAGCCTTTTTCCAGGCCTGAAGAGCGATGAAAGCCCTCCTAAGCCTTTCATTTTCGAATGTTTCTGTTGTTTTTACTGTATATTCAAACCCATCGGGGAGATCACCATTTTCAGGGAGAGCTAAGAGCTGACGGCGAGCGATATAAGACGCTTCGTTGTCGGATAATGCAGAAGTGGGTACTGCTTTATACAAGAAAAAACAAAAGAATAAAAGAAAGCAGCCCAAGGCCGGAAGGGCTTTCATTATTGGCCACCTTGGTCTGCTCAAGGCTTCTTTTGCAATGAAGATGGAACCGTAACAAGGGATTATATTGAGAGAAAAATGTCCAATTTTAACTACCGGAGAGGGATGGTTTACATATTTTTAGAGACAAATTGTTGGCTTTGCGAGATGTAAGGTTTATCAATGAAATTACTTGACACAAATTCTGTTGACAAATAATCAAAATAACCAAAGAATCATAAATTATATATATATATATAGTTTAATTAAATAACTTAACACATTTCTCAAAATAATATGTGCGCAATGACTCCCCTGAAACCATATATATCTGCCGCTGTACATAACTCATTATTATTTCATGCACAGAAGAGAAGAGTATTTCATAAATATATATTTAAATCTTGTAATCCTTTTTTATGTTATGAGAGTTAGACGCGAATCGCATACCTTGACTAAAGGGGATTAAGCAATAACTTTAAACATTTAAAGGGTTACAATGTGAAAAAGAAATAAATAGATAACTTCAACCTCAATAAATCTTTTTTACATGATAAAAAAACACATTATCAGTATCGATTTAACTTTTGAAAGTAAAAAATGAAAAGACATGAATTCATGATACCGATACTTTTATGTTAGTATAAATACTAAAATAAGATTTAAAATGAAAAATATGTCTATTAATGTTTGATATCGAGACTCATACTCTATTGTATGTGATTATTGCTTAAATTATAAATTATTTTATGATTAATTATTCATTCATTAGATAATTTTAGTTACTAATTTGGGTATTTTCATTAATTTTTGATGCAAGATATTGAATTCCATAAATTATGCTAAGAACAACGAAATCATACAATTTTTTTATTTTTCTAGATTTATGATCGGATTAGTGGGCACAACTTGGGACATGATACACCCAACATGGCATCTAATAAGCAGCTGATGTGGCAGCTGACATGGCGATGATGTGGCAGTTGATGTGGCGCCCAATCAATAACTTCTAGAAGGCTCAGTCAACAACTTCTAGAAGATCCAGTCTGCAGTGGTGTGAAGATCAAAGACTCAGCCAAATTTTTGAATTCAAATTAGGATTTATTTTAGGAATTATTTTTTTTAGTTTTAAATGTTATCTTTTAGTTTTTTTTAGGACTATAAATACCCCATTGGGATAAGCTTCTAAATCATCGATTTCTTCATTCAGAATTCATTCAACTCATGTTTATTTCTTTAAGTTTTTATAAAAGATTTATGTCTTTCTTTTTTCAAGTTTTTAGGTTACTTTCTTAAAGTGCTAAGCATGAATTCAATCATGCTTAGCTAAGATTTTCATAGCCAAAGGCTAAAGCAATGACTCGATTCTAAGCCGTGAGGATCGAAAAGCGCTTCATGCCCTCAAGGGTTACATTTTCAGTTTTCAAAAATCAAAGATCGATAATCACTCATACTTTTACAATCAAAGCGATTTGATTTCAAAAAGTGCACGTTGGAATTGAATTTCGGTTTCGAGTAATAGTTCGGAGGAAAGATCGGCCTATAGCATATTCGACTTCCTGTGAACACAATTAGTGGCGGTCCGCTAAGGGAAACTGAAATTGGGTTAGATTCTCAATTGACACGATAGAGTCTGAGTCAGGTTTTTCCAGAATTTAAAAGCATTGAATTAATAAGCGATTGCCACTATTAATTCAAAAAGAGTTGAGATATGAAAATTGATTTTAGATTCTCGATTCATTTGAGAGAGAAACATGTTACAGGGGTTGGGCCCTGTAGACTGTAACCGGCATGAGCCCAGACGTAAAATCCTATTCAAAGATTGATTAAATCAAGGCAAAAGCTTTAGCACAAGGTTGATTTTTACCAATTGAATTTTATTTTCTTAATTTACTATTTTATTTTATTTCAATCATTTTTATTACTTCACTTCAACCCTCCAAAATCTCCCCTCTAATTGTTTTTTACAAATCACGCCTGAAGTAAGATTAAAAGTGAGGAAATCGTCAAACTCTTAGTCCCTGTGGATAGACCCTTACTCTCCCTATTATACTTATTATTATTTATTTTATTGAGATTAAGGCTATTTATTTTGACATAATAACAACATGTGGCAAAATTGGCGCCGTTTCCGGTGATTTGGAAGAATTATTGATTTAATTTTATTTATTTTTTATTTATGAACAGGAAGAATCAAGGCACATTAGAAGAATTTAATCCATAAATCGAAGCGCGAGCGAGACGAATCCAAGGTCAAACACTTTAGTATAAAATAAAGAAACGACAAGAACAAGCAAGTTTCGAAGACACAACTGATGCCACATACGAGGAATCAACAGATTCCATGCAATCCACCAACTCAATCAATGCCGATAAAACACCCATTGTTGCTCTGACGCACAATGTACAACACCTAGAACCAATGGGTGATGAAACTATCTGCGAACTACCCGTAACTCCTGCGGTACAACAACCACTCTACATCACATTCTCTCAAGGCGAAACACCGTTTCAACTCAAGACGGGTTTGATATATTTACTTCCGACCTTTCACGGACTTCCTAACGAAAGTACGCACAAGCACTTAGCTGAATTTCAGTTGTTCTGTTCAAGCATGAAACCCTAGGGAATATTCGAAGACCAATTTAAATTACGAGCATTTCCATTTTCTCTTTATGACGTTGTAAAATAATGGTTATTTTACTTACCACCAAATTTGATAAAAACTTGGGTTGATTTAAATCTTATTTTTCTTGATAGGTTTTTCCCAACAACGAAGGCAAGTGAACTGAGGCGAAACATCCTAGGAATTAAACAAAAGAACGATGAGTCACTTTATGACTACTGAAAGCGATTCAAGACGATATATGCGAGCTGTCCGCAACACGGATTGATCGAACATACACTTCAACAATATTTCTATGAAGGTTTGCTTCCCATGGAGATGAAAATGATCAACGCTGCTAGTGGTGGAGCTCTCATCAACATGACACCAAACCAACCAAGGGAGCTAATTTTAACAATGACAGCCAACTCTTAGCAGTTTGGCACCACGAGTGAACCTAGCCGACAGATTCACGAGGTAATTACTATTTCACTTGAAAATAAGATTGATAAATTAACTAATATTGTTAATTCCTTTGTTGTAGGAAAGAACAAATTAGCCAGAGTATGTGGGATTTGTACGATGCCAGACCACCCAACCGATTGCTGCCCAACACTACAAGAAGAAGTGAGCGCACAAGTGAATCCAGGGTGGCTAAATCCCAAAAGGAGGATGACACCATAATTTAAAAAAAAAAGAATTCGGTACCCAAATACGCACCATCCTCATATATCATTCCACCTCCTTTCCATAAAGATTCATAAAGAAAGACAATCAAGTCGAGGAGAAAGAGATCCTAGACGTCTTCCGGAAAGTTGAAATAAACTTTCCCAAGGTATGCCCATTTCCTTAAAGAGATTTGTACTACTAAAAGAAGTCTTACTAAGCATGAGAAAGTAAACCTTAGAGAGCACATTTATGCGGTTCTGATCCAACGGCTTCCACCGAAGTTGAAGGACCAAGGCATGTTTGCCATACCTTGCAAAATCGACGAAGTGGGCATTAAGAGGGTGATGTGCAATTTGGGAGCCTCAATAAATGTGATTTCTTTATTTGTTTACAACACTCTTTCAGCCGAACCATTGAAGGACTCAAGAGTTACCATTAAATTAGTGGATCGCTCAATTATCTACCTAGAAGGACTCTTGAAGAATGTCTTAGTAAAGGTGAACGAACTAATCTTTCTACCTGATTTCTATGTCATTGACATGGAAAATGACAGCTCAAATACTTCATCTGAGATTCTCCTTGGGCGGCCTTTCCTTAGCACTGCCAATACAAAAATCAACGTGAGGAGCGGTATTCTCACAATGAAAGTCGACGATGAAATCATTAAATTTAATGTTTATAAAGTAATACGATATCATGAAAATGTTCAAAGTATTAATTTTGTTGAATTGATTGAGCCTTCGGTTGATGAATTTATTGAAACTAACTTTGTCGACAAGTTTTGAAGAGAATTGGACGATTTTGATGGTGAATTTAGGGAGTTTGAATAAACGTTTTCCATTAATTCTATTTGTTCTGATGAAATTACTACACCTTTGAAATCTAAACTTTTACTTTCTATTTTGCAAGCTCCTCAGATCAAATTAAAGAAATTATCGGATCACTTGAAGTTAAACTCTCTAACTCACAAAGATCACTTTCCTTTACCTTTTATTGATAAATTAATAGAAACATTAGCTGGTAAAACTCATTATTGTTGTCTCAATGGATTTTCAGGTTTCCTCTAAATCCTGGTGGCGCATGAAGATCAAGAAAAGACGACGTTCACATGCCTTTTCGGAACGTTCGCTTATAGGTGAATGCCCTTCAAACTGTGCAATGTGCCTTCCATATTTCAACATTGCATGCTCAACATTTTTTCTGATTTTGTAGAGAAAGGTATAGAGGTATTCATGGATTACTTCACGGTATATGGTAATACTTTTTCTGAATACCTTTTTAATTTATCAAATGTTTTAAAGAGGTGCCTATAATACAACCTTGTTTTAAACTATGAAAAATATCATTTCATGGTTGATAAAGGGTTGATTCTAGGACACATTATTTCTTCTAACAATATTGCGATTGATAAAGCCAAGACCGATGTTATTCACTTACACCCTTACCACACTACGGTAAGGGAAATACATTCTTTTATTGGCCATGCAGGATTTTATCGACGATTTATCAAGGACTTATTGATGATAATGTAGCCGTTATACAATCTTCTCGAAAAATATCAAGCTTTTGACTTTAATCCGAAGTGCCAAAAATCGTGGAACACATTGAAGGAAAAGCTAATCACGTCACCAATTGTGCAACTACCAAACTGGGAATATCAATTCGAGCTGATGTGTGATGCCTCTGACACTAGCATTGGCATGGTTCTTGTCCAACAAATTGGCAATGAGCCGCACGTTATTGCTTATGCGTCCAGCAC